ATCAGCCTCAAAACAAGATTAAAAAGACTTTTTGGCTGATATAAGATTTTAAAACTTAGTAAGATGGACAGTTTTTGCAGTGTGCATGTTTCTTCAGACTGTGTTGGCTGCATGGTTGCTGACTGCATTTTCTGTTGCATTACAATGATTCCTGGCCTTGATTTTTATTTGGTAGTTCAGCTGTGTTAGTTTGTTCAGTTTGTTTCTTTTTTCTAACCACCTCTTTTGATTGGTGCAGAACCTGGGAGGGATCATAATTTTCTTTTCTTTTTCATTCCCTCACAAAAGTTGGATATTATCTTAATATTTTGTAAAAGCAGCACACATGACAGCATAAAGTGAACAAGCCTGTTTGTGAGAGTGCAGTTGTTGTGGAACTGCTGACGACCCTGGTATCTCCCTATTAGTTGTATTCTGTTGTAGGGGTAATTTAAACGTTAGAATTCTGAAATAGATAATTTGTAATATATTTAAATATAGTATATTTTAAATATACTATATTTAAAATATATCATTCCTCGGAGCACCACACTTCTTAATTCGATCAGATACTGACCCAGGAAAGAAATGAAAAACTGTACTTTATGTAATCAGTCTCAGAATAAGTTTACCCAAATTGAACTATGAGTCCTTGTCTTATAAAAACCAGAATATCTCATCAAGACACAAAAAAAATTGAGATTAGATTATGCTGGCACGTTCTCCACGGGCCATTTATTTACAGATTAAAATGTATTTACWACAATGACAAGCAATGAAAGAGTAATGATATATTTGAACCAGGTAAACTGAGAGAGTTTGTTATCACAAGTGAATGGACAAAYGGACAAACAAAACAAACAAAYGTSTAAACAAAAATAAACACTGAGAAGTGGGTTGAGGCTCTGRGGGAGGTAAGCTGTTTAGCTGTGGCTGTTTTAACTAGGGATTCCTAGCTAAATTAAGRTCGAGAAAAYGTTTAGTTTACCAAATCTCCTACAAAGATAAAAATCAAATCTAGKTCTGAGCACYATGTGTTTCACCAAGACATAGTGGTCACCTTTTTCCCTTGTGTTCTGCCGTGTGGGTACCAGGAGGTTGAAGTCAGCTGTGGAAGACCATCTCTGGAGTTCGTTCTCCAGACAGGCTCTTCATGCAACTTGGACGTCAGGCGGTCTGCCTGGTAGACTYGACTGGTCCCGTGGTCAGAAAATGAGTCTCTCTCTCTCTCTGGTGACTTGGGAGTCTGGTCTTTCACAGGTGGCRTTAAGACCCTCAATTTGATCTTCACTTTGTAGGAAAAACGGACTAAAACGACAGATGAATTACCATTAGCTTATTTGACTCCTTTAAAAATCAAAACTCAAGGGCTGAGTCGGAAGTGGGATGAACGAGCTATTATGGGTCAAATAGCGGAGATGCCACCCCCACCTTTCCATACTGATCAGCACAGGGAAGGCCTGGCAAGAGGGGGTCTCCGGCTTAGAGGCTGCTTCTGGTTTTAGCTGTACTCTTGTCTGTGTTCTCTTCTTCTTCTTCTTCTCTGCTTCTGTGTACTAACCTTTAAGACCTCTGTTATGGGCGGAGTCAAGGTTTTAGTTAGCCAATTGAAAAACTTTACCAGTTTTTAACAAATGAAATATTTGGAGGGAAAAACATTTTCTTCAGGACAAAGAAAGGGAGTGTTTTAGTCTAATTATCTTGCATCTAATTAAAGGGAGAAACATCTGCTTTACCTCAGTAAAATAACAATGTCCCTTTAGTTAAATTCAAACCTAAAGTTTTCTAAGGTTAACTCTCATAATAACAGTTTAAAGAAACAAAATATTTTTAGAAAAATATTTCATCAAAGACAATTAACACCACAATACACACAGCTATTGAATAG